GAGTGCATTAACTTCTTTCACAAGTCAGTCAAGGACTGGTTGGTTGAGGAGTCTGCTTCGAGGCAAAAGAAGTTTATTGTTAGCGGAAAAAAATGTCATCGCATCATTTCAAAGCTTTGCAGAGATGAACTAGATGAATTGAAACTTAAAGGGATCCAGAGTTCAACACTGAAACAGACGTCGAGGTATGCCTTGCAGCATGGTGTTCAGCATATACTTGAGGTAGAAGAGAATGCTCGTCCATGTAGCCTGGACGACATTGTAAAGAATTATGTCTTGGACCTAGAATTGGTCTATGCAAAGCTAATTGTGAAGAGTACAGCAGCCATTGAAGATGTTCTTTGCGTACAAGAGAAGGAAAATACAAATGGTCTGTCAAAGAATTGCAGAGAAGCCCTTGAGACGTTATTGTTGCTGTCGCGGAAGCATTTAAGTACTCTTTCAAAACTTCCTTATGCCATCTTTCAAATTTTGTTGAATGAAGGAGGACCTGAACTGTCTGCGGAGGCATTAAGCTTGCTAAACACCAAGTATGCGGACTTACCATATATGGAATATTTGCGAAAGAAGGAGGAAAGAACAGATGTTCTACTGCAGTTTGTTGCTTCAGATGAGGTGATCTCCTTTGATGTCTCACCAAATCAGGACTACCTGGTATGCGAGTGTGGGAATGAGACAATTCATCTGTGGTCGCTCCGTACTGGCCAGCTAATGTGGACACACTCTGTGCTGTTATCTGGTAGAAACACTCGTTTTGGGCGGTACGCAATGACACGTTTTTTTATAAAATTTTTCCGGTCAGTAGTTTTCCATCCAACCTTAGACCTGATCTTACAAGGGACTCTGTGTTGGGGTTATACCTTGGTCGGAGACGTGAAACCTCTTTTCCGTTCGAGCGAGTGCCGGTTCAAAGTTTGTTCAATATCTGGTGACAAAAGCACGATGCTGACTGACTGTCTGGACCAGTGGAATTGCGTCATCCAGTGGAGTCTAAAAGATGGAAGTGAAAGTAGTCGTTTTACACACAAATGCAAAATTTTATCTTTTGCTTGGTCTGCTAGTGGAAGACGGATGGTGATCCTGGATTCTGACAAGTGCGCATACCTCATTGACATGAATGATGGAGTTGAGACTCTAATATGTGCTTCAGTCTCGTCACGATATGTTAAGTTAACTCCTGACTGCCGGTTTTTTTTCTGTTTACTTTGGGATGAACGTCATCGGTATCCGAAGCCCAAGCTTTTTTGTTTAGATATTGACAGGAACACTAAGTCAATGTATAGTTTATGTTGCATTTTTGGGACGAGTTCTTACCAGTACGCCTCGGAATTTGAAACTTGCAATGAGAGTGGTTTCCTATCAGGAGATCCCTTTTGGTATCCATCTGGAGGAATATTATTATCTGTGGATTTTGCACTTGTACTAGAAAAGCAGATGTTACTAAGAGTTTCCCTTCACAGTGAAGTGATTGAAATGTGTCGCCTTAATGACGTAAGGGAGTGGAGAGGTGAGAGTAGCGATGAAGCGGGACTAAGCATAGAACCCGGTGACATTACGACAGAGAGAACCGAAAATAACGATCTAACGGAACATAACCTACCAGAAATCAGCCATATGCTGGAACAGAAAGCTGAAATCGATGTTCTGTCAGGACAGAGAGCTGAAGTTGCTGATCCATCAGAACAGAGAGCTGAACTCGGTGGCCTAGTTGAACAGACAATGGAACGTAACAACTCTACGGAAAAGAGAGATGAACTTGATGACTTTGTGGGAGAACGAACGGAATTTAATGACCCACCAGAAAAGAGGTTCAAACTCGATGAAACCTCAGAACGATTGGAAACTGATCCATGCAGCT